AACTTTAGTACCATTTGGCAAAGGAATAATTTATGGGCCTAGATTCATTTGCGCAAAGCAGGTAAAAGATTTATTAGAAGCTGGGTGCCAATGCATCAATAAGGACTAAGTACACAACTTTGTTCAGCTTTCATTTGCACACATTTAAACTCTGGTAAAATAAAACTACCCTGTGTTTCTGCTTAACAAGATTCAGCCACCCTTTTTACAAATGAAGAAATTCTCACCTTTGCCCCCAATTGAGGAGACACATAATCATAAGAGCCATTATGTCCATTGCTAGCTATATTAATTTCTCCTCAAATTCAGTTACAGTCCCAATGAATACTACGTGAACTAGAGATTAAATTGTAAAGTTAACTTCCAACAACTTGTAGGTAAACTAATAGGAAGAAGGAAAAAGAAAAAGAAAGTGGTTAGCATACACAAATAAACACATATGCATACATATAGGAAGCAAAGAGAAAGTATGCAAAATCACTGTTGTCTTCATTAGTAAGTCATGATTGCTATCTATAGCTTTTTTTTACCCCTACTACCTATTCCCTGTTCCCATTGCTTTCACCCAGAACCTTAGTTTGCTAAGGATATTTACAAACTGAAAAGAACAAATCTTTATTCCGAAAGGATCTGCATTTTTAATTATACTCTCTTTTGGTTGCTATAATAATCAGCTAGGTTCAAGACATAGCCCTTCTTGCTTTCATTGGTAACAGGAACCAATTTTCTTTTGGTATTCAGAGTCAGTCACTCCAGCCACTAGATGAGCCTATGTTTAGTGGCATAAGAATTTCAACGTATCCATTTGGAAGTTTCATCTTCCAAATTAGTGGAACTATTATTATGTCCCTTGGTAGACCATTTAGAGTTAAAGTTACTGAGATGGAAAGCATAAATGTGTATCTTCCAACTAGACTAACTGCTTTCAACTGAAAGTATATGTTAAATCCAAGTACATAAATCCATTGTTGCACTTTGCTGAGAAATAAGTTTCTGTATCAAAAACAAGGCTGTTATACAGGTTTGTCAATTTTGTTTATCTTTTTAAAGAGTCTCCTTTTGGTTTGATTGATTTATTTTTTATCTATTCTTATTTATTTTATTTCACTCTTATCTTTGTTATTTCCTTTCTTCTGTTCAATTTAGGTTTAGTTTCTTCCCACCCCTCACCCCCACCCCAGTGTCCTAGGTGGATGGTTAGGATATTAATTTGAAACCCTTCTTCTTTCTTAATATATGCATTTATAGATATAAATTTATCACTTACTTAGCTACTTTTTATTATGGTGTATCTTCATTTTAATTTATTTTAAAGTATTCTCTGGGTTCATGTTTATTTCTTTTATGACCCATATAAGTTATTTAAGAATGTGATATTTAATTTCCACATATTTGTTAGTTTTCCCAAATTTTTGGCAAATGATTTCTAATTTCATGCTATTGTTACCAAAAAGCATACTTTTATTTTTTGTAAACTTTTAAGTTAATTGAGACTTTTTTATGGCCTAGCATATGGTCTAGCCTAGAAAATGTTCCATGTGTACATCAGAAGAATGTATATTATGTTGTTGTTTAGTGGAGAGTTTTACAAATGTCTGCTAGGTTTAGTTGGTTTATGGTGTTTTCAAGCTTTGTATTTCCTTGTTGATCTGCCTAGTTGTTCTATCCATTGTTGGAAGTGGGATAGAAAAAGAAAAGAAATATCCAACTACAATTGTTGAATTGTCTATTTCTCCCTTCACTTTTACCTATTTTTGCTTTGTGCATTTTGGTGTTCTGTTATTTCATGCAAGTATGCTTACAAGTGTTATATCTTCCTGTTGAATTGAACCTTTTATTATTATAAAATGCTGTTCTTGGGGCGCCTGGGTGGCGCAGTCGGTTAAGCGTCCGACTTCAGCCAGGTCACGATCTCAGGGTCCGTGAGTTCGAGCCCCGCGTCGGGCTCTGGGCTGATGGCTCGGAGCCTGGAGCCTGTTTCCGATTCTGTGTCTCCCTTTCTCTCTGCCCCTCCCCCGTTCATGCTCTGTCTCTCTCTGTCCCAAAAATAAATAAAAACGTTGAAAAAAAAATTAAAAAAAAATAAAATGCTGTTCTTTATTTCCAGTAACAATTTTTTGTTTTAAAGCCTATTCTGTATGATATTAGTATAGTCACTGAGATTTGCTTTTAGTTGCTATTTGCATGATACATCTTTTTTATTCTTTTATTCCCCATCTGTTTGTACCTTTGCATTTAAAGCATGGTACCTGTGGATATATTATAGTTGTGTCTTGTTTTTACCATTCTTACCTTGGCAATCTCTACCTTTTATTGATAGTCTCTATTTGATATGATATTGTCATAATACTTCTATTTTTTTATATTTACATTTTTTATTTTTAAACTGCTTTTTATTTTTGAGAGAACACAAGCAGGGGAGGGGCAGAGAGAGGGACTGAGGATCTGAAGCGAGTTCTGAAATGGGATCTGCACTGACAGCAACCAGCCTGATTTAGGGCTTGAACTCATGAACTGTGACATCATGACCTGAGCCAAAGTCAGATGCTCACCTGAGTGAGCCATCCAGGTGCTCCTCATACTTCTATTTTTTAAACCATGGTTTCCTTCAAAAATTCTTTGAACATAATTATGATGTCTACTTTGAAGTTTTTCTGTTTGTTCCACTATCTGGTCACTTTCACAAGTAGTTTCTATGGCTTGTTTTATTTCACTGTAATGAGTTCCTTAGATCTTGTGGAAATAAACAAAAATCAAACAAATGAGAACAAGCAAAGTCTACTTATTCCAAGTAGTCGTACTTTGGTATACAGCTACCATCACTTGAGTTTTGGCAGACACTCAAAGGCAGACAGGAAAGTGGGAAAGGTTTATATGGTGGTAGAAAGGGAAAGCTCAGGTATGCCCTTCTTGTTGGCATGAGAAAGCTGTGGGTGAACTAACTAGTAGTGTTGAAACATTTTATGTTTTATGTTTAGGAGTGCGTATTTGACTCTCTCTGGTTGGTCCTAAGTTGGAAGGAGAGACAAAAATTAGGTAAGCTGACAGTTTTTAATCAAGTCCTGGTCATTTGGGGGTGACTGTTACATAAGTTATTGTTTAGCTTCCTGGATTATTACTGGAGATAGCAATGTGCCTTCCCACAAAGTCTGACTTGCAGCAGGCTGGCTTTCTGGGCTATTTTTTTCCAACCTGGGGGTTTATTTCCTGGACAGATTACAGAGGGTTGTGTGACACATTTCTATTTTTATGTATGATCTAGCCTTTGTCCATTTGTATATTTAGTGTCTTTGTCTATAATTGCAGTTTTTCACTAAATTTAGGGAAACTTTAGTCATTATCTTTTCAACTGTTTTTGTACCTATTGTTTCTTCCCATTTCTCTGGGACTCCAATTAAACATATGTTAGATACATTGTCCCACTGGTTGCTGCAACTATATTAATTTTTAAAGCTTTTTTTCTCAGCTTTCTCTCAGATTTGATCACTTCTACAGGTCCATATTCTAAGTATTTTTTAAACCTTTTCTCTTGCCTGTCCAATGTGCATTAAGTTCTACCCGGTATATTTCATTTTAAATATATTTTTTGTTCTAAAATTTAGACCTCGCATTTTTATAACCTGTATTTCTCTGCTGAATCTACAAAATTTTCCTTTATATTCTTGATCACATTTTTAATATCTGTTGTAATTCCTTTATTTTAAAAATAATTGCAAAATCCTTGGTTGCTTCAGGGTCAGTTCTCTTTTGGAATTTTCTCATAACTATGGAGCACATTTTTCTTTTGTTTACATACACAATATTTTAAAATCATACCTTGGCTATATTCAATGATACATTGTGGAGCTTGTGACTTTCTTAATTCTCGCTCTCTCAGACAGCTGACTGGAGTGAGTTTCCAACCTCTACTCTCTTGTATTTGGAGACAGCCAAAAATCTCTCCTTAGTTCTTCCAGTTTTTTTGGTCTTAGTTTCTGCTAAACTACTTGAGATTTCTTTCATATAGTCTCAATTTAGATGTAAGTAAATAACCTACACTGAGGTTGGTTAATAGCACCCTGTTTTAAGATCTCACTCTGCCTCCTCCTTCCCTGAATATATCACATCCCAGTTTTTAGAGACTGTCAAACTCTGGTCAGTAATTTGTTGTTGTTGTTGTTGCTGTTGGAATATTAGCTACTTTACACTGCCCTGTGTTGGGGAGTGCTCTCAGGTGAAAACACACACAAGTGCAAATATCAGAAAATGCAGTTTTCTTCTTTCTAGTGTGGATTCCCTGCTCCCACCTTTACCTGCCTGCCTTTGTAGATGTAATTAAAACATTATTTTTCCGAAGTTTATATTTATTAGTGAGAGAGGTTTTTTCTTTTTTCTTTTTTTTTTTTTTTAATATTTTTAACGTTTATTTATTTTTGAGACAGAGAGAGACAGCGCGTGAACAGGGGAGGGGCAGAGAGAGAGGGAGACACAGAATCTGAAACAGGCTCCAGGCTCTGAGCTGTCAGCACAGAGCCCCACACGGGGCTCGAACTCACAGAGTGTGAGGTCATGACCTGAGCCAAAGTCGGACGCTTAACCAACAGAGCCGCCCAGGCGCCCCTATTAGTGACAGAGTTAATGCAAGCTGTTCTGCCATTACACTCAAGTAATTTTGAAAAGAAAAAAATTCTCTTTTGGATTTATTTTTTTTACCTCTATCTTGCAAACTTAAGGGGGTGAAAAAATAAATTTTTGATTATTTTACTTTGATCCTAATGACTACAAATGTTAGGTTTAATTTATAACAGGAAAAATATGGAAGTGTACTTAATTCTCTTTGAACTTGGGAACTTTTTGTTCAGTTGAGCCAAATGCTTATTTAATAATCTTATAAATCTGTTTTGGAAACAATATTTGACACATACACACAAATAAACATATATGTTTTAAATATTTGAAAATAGTTCCTTTAACGTGAATTATTCTAATAGAGGTCTACGTATTTTATCTTTATTTTTCAGAATTTTTGCTACTACCGAGGGTTTATTGAAGGTTATCCAAATTCTATGGTGACCATCAGCACATGTACTGGACTCAGGTTGTGTTATATAGTTTGATAATTACAAAGTATAATATTGTCTTAAAGTTTTTAAATTTTTAAAATTATATTCAGGGGTTCTAAAATGAGGCATGACTTATTGTGGGAAATTGTCAGTGGAAAAGCACAATATGGAAATTCTTGTAATATCTCCTACCCAATCCTGAATTAAGATTTTTGAGATATTTATAGACTATGAAATATTAATTGCTAGATGAATATCAATAATGTTACTATTCTGTGCCATTCAGTAAGTTTGTGGATATTCAGTAACTTTTTCCTACTTTACCATCTAAGACCAAGACTCAAAATAATCTACATACTGTTAAAAAAAACTGTTCCAGTATAATTTTGTTATTTATTTATTTTATTGACTTTAAAAATGCATTATTTTATTTATTTACTTATTTTTGGAATTTGTAGGGGCTTACTACAGTTTGAAAATGTGAGTTATGGGATTGAGCCCTTGGAGCCTTCAATAGGTTTTGAACACGTGATTTATGAAGTAAAATATAAGCATAAAGGTGTTTCTTTATATGCTGAGAAGGGTATTGAATCAAGAGAAATGCCCTATAAAATACAAAGTATAGAGGTAGGTGATTAATTGAGTAAACTATGATTATTGCTATGCAACAATATAAACTATATTTTTCTAATGCACAAATTATTTACATTAATATACATTATAGGTAGATGTACCAGAAACTTCATGACTTATATTGTAAGCCTCAAAACTAGTCATTCAATTCTCTAGAACTCCAAACAGGCATTTTCCACTGTTAGTAGCAAATTTTCTTGGGATCTGGACCTTTATTGTCTGCAGATGCACTCCTTTCTCCATATTTATTATGTCAAAATGTTGATATAATTAACATATAATGAAATTCACATAAATATTGAAGATATATACCTAGAGTCCTGAGGAGAATCACCAGCATCTTGTAAGGCAATGGCCTCAGGAGAGGCATTTACATTTTCCTGAAGAAAGACAAGGTTAATCTTCCTATGCAGGGATAGAGAGGCTGCTTCTAATGGCAAAGAAGACTCATCAGGATTTAAGGGATCAGTGACCCCTAGCTTTGTCAGAATCTTGCTATATGTCTTTTTTCCAATTTTCAGAATCTCATTGCTTCCCAATTAATGTCCACACTTTAACAGTAGACACCTGTAAGATTGAACATTCAATTTGTGTTATAATTCATCCATTCATATAAATGAGATTATGAGTTTGGTTTTCAACACTCTCAGCTCTGCAAATACAGTACAGGGCATATATTTCTTCAGAGAAACATAACCAACATGATGCCTATATATGTTTATGTGTGTGTGATTGGACCAGGTCTACCCATTATAGAGTGTAATCTGTTTTACTCAAAGTCCACCATTATGAATGTTTATCTCATCTGAAATCACACTCACAGAAACATCCAGAATAATGTTTAACTACAAATCAGTGTATTATGGCCCAATCAAGTTGACAGATAAAATTAACCATCATACCAGAGTTAGAAAATTCATTACTATATTTCTTCTAAAACATTTACTAATTTCTTGCATTTTAATTTATAATCCAATATAATTTAATTTTTGTCCGGAGTGAGGTAGTGTTCTAAATTCATCATTTTTTATTTTAAATCTAGTTTTTCCAATTCTTTCTCTTTAAAAAAACTAAACTTTGGTCCACTGAATTTTCATGGCTTCCCTCCCCCTCCCCCCCCCCCCCCCCGCCCCGCCGCCTTGCCAAAGATCAGTTGACCATATATGTTTGGGACTATTTCTGCACTGCAATTACGTTTTATCTTTATGTCTATTCTTATGCTAGAACCACACTTTTATTTGTTTAACCACTATATCTTTGAAGTATGTTTTGGAATTAGTAAGTGTACACTCTTCAGAGATGTTCTTTTATGAGATTGTTTTGGCTATTCAGGGTAGTATTCATTTCCAAATACATTTTAAATTTTATTTTCAATTCCCTTAAAGAACCAGATGGTGTTATGTTGATTTTGTAGATTGCCCTGGGAAATATTGCCATTTAATAATACTGACTCTATCTGTGAACACTGAATAGCTTTTTGTTTTTTAATTTCTTTTTGCAATGTTTTGTATAGTTCAGTTTCTAAGTTGTCATCAAAACTATTTTTGTTAAGTTTATTTCTACATTTTTTATTTAAATATTATTGAAATTTTAATTTTTATTTCAAAGTTCTGTTTCTAACTATTAGTGTTTGGAAATTGTTGATTTATATATACTGATTTTGTATCCTGCAAACTTGTTTAAATTGCTTATTGGTTTCTTACTGAGCTTTTTGTAGTTTTCTATCTATAAGGTTATGTTATCTTCAATAAAGACAGTTTATGTTCTTCCTTTGCAAGTAGGATACCTTTCATTTATTTTTCATTGTCTAACTGCCCTAGTTAACACCTCAAGTATAATGTTGAATAGGTGAGAAAAGATATCCTTGTCTTGTTCCAATCTTAGGAGGAAAGGATTCAGTCTATTGCCATTAAGTATGATATTAATGGTGAAATACAATAAAAAATCCCTGTAATTTATGACTCACTTTACTCTCTGATAAAAATTCTCCTGTTTTTCATTCTATCCCATGTTTTCTGACTTTTCCTTATAGATATACTCACATTCTAGGTACCTATATTTCCTGTGTTAGGTTTCAGATTTTTATTTGTCATATACCTTTCCATGGATTTGTCTGCTGTAATTTACAGATCTCCCACTTTCTTTCTAAATTTCTTCCTGAGTTATCCCATATTGGACTTAATGATCGCTCAAGTTAAAATACACAAACACACATTATCTATCTACTTATTTATGTATATCTATCATCTATATATCTAAGTAAGTTTGTAAGTTTGTATCTATCTCTCAAATTTTATCTTCATGTCCCTTCTCCCTCCCTGAATATTCATACCAATGACCTTTGATATCTTTTAAACTTAAACCTTTAATCCATCTATATTGGAATTGGATCATCTGGAGGTGTTATGTGATTTTCTTGCTTAGATCCAATTCTTTAGTATTTACTTGACCAAAGCAAACTTTCCTGCAGTTGGAATCATCTTTATGTAACACGTAGCTAAGAAATTTGTCTCTGTATATGGCTACTTTCTCTTATCAAATAAAATAACTTTAGAGGTCTTTTGAAATCAAGTTATCTGCTTTCAAAGCTATCAAGTTATCAACTTTTCCAACACATAACAATTCCTGGCATTAATCTATGCAACTTTGTATTGAACTTTTATTTGGCCAGAACGGACTATGTATTTTTTTCTGCATGAAAGCTTATTGTTCCATAAATGAGTAAATAAATTTTTGTTAACTAAATATTACCAATCTCAATCTCAAAGAAGACAGTGATCAAGGATTATTTCAGTGAATGTTAGCCAACACTTATTTTCCTTAAAACAAATAGATTTTAATCACTCAATCCATTAATGTATTATTTCTCTCAAATAATTTAAATGTTTACTTTTATCCTCAGGTAAGGTAGTGTCATTTCTTGTTTAGGGACGTTAATAAAATGATAAAGTTCTATAAGCAAAACGTCTTTGCAATATTTGGTGCTTAATTTTGGAAGTAATAGTAAGAAACCAGTTAGACAATAAGGGGATTTCACTTGCATTTTTAAAATGAAACCGTTAAATCTCCAAGACTTGGGCCAAGAAAGAGAATTTTAAGGTGAGGGGGAATTTAAAGTGAGTAGTCAATCATCTCTAAATGTGTCTTTATGACCTTTCTCAACTTTCTTTTCCCTTTAAATTCATATAACTGTCACTTTTCTGATCTCCACTAAATACCAGATTTGTTCCTCTTTAATTCTCTTTTTTATACATTAAGGAAAGCATTTTAATGAAAACGAAATGGTTTTGAAATTTCAAGGGATTAAATATCAGTGTAAAGAAGAAAAAGCACACACTAAAATGAGCATGATAACATTTTCCTCAATTTCTGAAATTTGGTCCTCCTTTTCTGCTTCTAAATATTTTCCTGTGCCTGTAGATGATATGCTATTTTAGTAACAAAATATTTTGAGTTAGCCACACTGTAGTCTTAAAGTGCTTGCAATGTCTGTCTTACGTGTTTTCCCCAGTGCATTTCTCCTTCATAAAAACTGATGAAAATAAGTAACACTTTATTGGTAGTAATTATAACAATTATTATTGTATCCCCATGTTTGGGAAACAATCTGAGTCGCATAAAAATAAGCCAGACTTCAAACACCATTAGGCTTCACATTTATGCCTAATTTAATTACTATGATCTACGTGGATCACATCATACCCAGAATATACATCTTGAGATTTCTATGATCCAATTTAAGAGTATTAGTTATTTTGATTCTCTGTTGGCTAACATTTTCTGAGGTAAATTATACAAAAGTTAACTTTATCCTTTAAATGAAATCCCACTCCTCTAAACACAGATGTGTCCTCACCTTTTAGGGATATAGAAAAAAAACATAGTACCACATACTACTGTATAATAGGATTTTTAATCTAATTAAACACATACATCTTGTATTGGGAAGTCAATTGAGAAATAGAAACAGAGAAAATAAGATGAATAGACAAGTACCAATGAGAATATGGACAATGGAATTAGAGGAAAGTTTTCCTTGAGTGAATTAAATATTTGATCAGGTAGGGGTGCCTGGGTGGCTCAGTCGGTTGAGCGTCCGACTTCATCTCAGGTTATGATCTCATGGTTTGTGAGTTCGAGCCCCGCGTTGGGCTCTGTGCTGATAGTTGAGGGCCTGGAGCCTGCTTTGGATTCTGTGTCTCCCTCCCTCTCTGCTCCTCCCCTGCTCACACTCTGTCTCTCTTTCAAAAATAAATAAGGATTAAAAAAAAATTTTTAAATAAATATTTGATCAGGTAGAAAAGATATGACAAAGGCAAGATTTCTGAAAATGATTCAGTGATGCCAAGTTTTGCTTATATTATCTGGTTCTATTTTTTATATATAAATCAGATTTGGTGACATCGAATTCATGAAGTAGTGATAAATATTAAAATATTTAAGTAACTCTTCAATTTTGATGTAAAGTTTGTGGATTTTTTTCAGCCACTCTCAGAGTTCTCTCAGTATATAGAAATGCATGTTGTAGTTGAAAAAAATTTGGTAAGTATATTTTAATTTATTTTACATCCATTTATTTTAGCAATGAAGGTTTATAAAAAAGTTGGAATAAATTTTTAACAAATGACAATAAATGACAATTTTTGCTTTATCGCTGCTTTAATGTATTTTAAATTACTACTATCAGTAAATTGAAAATAAAATATCTATAAACTTATTCTTAATTTTATATAAATAATATAAATAAAAATAATTGCTACCTTTAGAATAGTTTCTTAGTAATTTTTATTTATAATTTGTATTTATCCTTTCTATTTCTCTAATGCTTGGCAATGCCTGACCTTTTTACTGTCCCCAAAGTTTTGCTTTTTCAGAGTGTCATGTAACTGAAACATACAGTGTATGTTTTAAACTTTGCTGCATGCCTTTTCCTAGCTTAATAGCTCATTTCTTTTCAGCACTGAATAAAATTCTATTGCCTGGATACACCACAGTTTATTTAGTCACTCACATACTGAAGGATATCTTGGTTGCTTCCAAGCTTTCAAAATTGTAAACCAAACTGCTAAAAACATCCATGTGCAGGTTTTTGTGTGGACATAAGTTATGACTACTTTGGGTAAATACCAAGGAGTATTATTTCTAGATCATATGTAAGAATTTGCCTCATTTTGTAAGAAAATGCCAGAATTTCTACTACAGTGACTGTACCATTTTGCATTTGACACTTTAAATATATTATCCTAATGTCTTCTGACCTCTGAGGTTTCTGATGAAGAAAATGACTGATAATCTTATCATCCCTTCTATGTGATTAATTACTTCTGTCTTGCTGCTTTCAGTATTCTATATTTGTCTTTAGGTTTGACAGTTTGATTACAATGTCTTTGATTATAATGTGTCTTGTGGTTTGTTTTTGGATTTATGCTTCTTAGTGTTGTTTGAGTCCAGGATTTGTAGGTTCATGTATTTTATCAAATTTGGGAACGTTTTGGTCATTGTTTCTTCAAAAATAATCGCTATTCTTTTTCAGGGATTCCACAATTCATATATTATTCTGCACAGTGGTATAAGTCCCCCTTTACCCCCCTCTTTGGTTCTCAGTAATTTCAATTATCCTACCCTTGAGTCTGTTGATTCCTTCATATGTCTCTTCAAATCTACTGTTGACCCCTTCTAATGAATTTTCAATTTATTTATTGTATTATTCTACTCCAGAATTTGTTTCAAATTTAAAATAATTTCTATATCCTTGTTATTTTTCTCATTTTTTTTCATATATCATGTTCCTTTTTTTAAATTTCCTTCAGTTCATTCTTTTCCCTTAGCTGTTTCAGTATACTTTATTTTACTTTTCATAAAGTTTCTATTTAAATTCCAGTTAACATACAGGGTAATATTAACTTCAAGGGTGATTCAACACTTCATACAACACCCGATGCGCATCACAAGTTCACTCCTTAATCCACATCACCTATTTAACCCATTCCCTACCCACTTCTACTCTGGTAACCATCAGATTTTTCTCTATAGTTTGTTTGGCCTCTCTCTTTCTTTTTTTTATCCCTGTGCTCATTTGGTTTGTTTCAAAAATTACACATATGAGTGAAATCGTGTGGTATTTGTTTTTCTTTGACTTATTTTCCTTAGCGTAATGAGAGCTCCATCATATCATTGCAGATAGCAACATTTCATTCTTTTTTATGGCCGAGTGATATTCCATTGTGTCATTCATCAGTTGATAGACATTTGGGCTGTTCCCATAGTTTGGCCATTGTAGATAATGCATGTATCTCTTTGAATTATTATTTTTATTCTTTGGGTAAATACCTCATGGTGCATTTGCTGGATTGCCTACAGTTTTTTATTTTTAACTTTTTGAGGAATCTCCATACTTTTTTCCAGAGTGGCTGCACTGGTTTGTATTTCCACCTACAGTGCAAGAGGGTTCTCCTTTTTCCATATCCTCACCAACACCTGTTATTTCTTGTGTTGTTGATTTCAGCCATTCTGATAGGTGTAAGATGATATTTCAGTGCAGTTTTGATGTGTCTCCTGATGATCAATGATGCTGAGCATCTTTTCATTTGTCTGTTGGCCATCTGGATGTCTTCTTGAAAAATATCTATTCATATCTTCTGACCATTTTTAAATTGTAATATTCATTTGTTTTATTTTGGTGCTGAGTTTTATAAGTTCTTTATAGATTTTGGGTACTACTTTTTTTGCATATCTTCTCCCATTCCATAACTTGCCTTATAGTTTTGTTGATTGTTTCTTTCACTGTGCAGAGGCTTTTAATTTTTATGTAGTCCCATAGTTTATTTTTGCTTTTGTTTACCCAGCCTCAGGAGACATATCGAGAAAGAAGTTGCTGTGGTCAGTGTCAAAGAGGTTACTGCCTATATTCTTCTCTAGGATTTTTATGGTTTCAGGTCTCACATTTAGGTCTTTAATCCATTTTGAATTTATTTTTTGTGTATGGTATAAGAAAGTGGTCCAGTTTCATTCTTTTGCATGTTGCTGTTCTGTTTTCCCAACAGCATTTGTTGAAGAGACTTTTTTTCCCCATTGGATATTCTTTCCTGCTTTGTTGAAGATTAAGTTGTGAAGTTGTGAGTTTATTTCTGGACACCCTATTCTGTTCTATTGATCTATGTGTCTGTTTTTGTGCCAGTACCACACTGTCTTAATCACTACAGTTTTATAACATAACTTGAAGCTATGATTGTGATGCTGGAATTGTGATGCCTCCAGCTTTGCTTTCCATTTTCATGATTGCTTTGACTATGCAAGGTCTTTTGTGGTTCCATACAGGTTTTAGGATTGTTTGTTCTATTTCTGTGAAAAATTCTGTTGGTATTTTGATAAGGATTACATTAAACGTGTAGATTGCCTTGTATACTATAGACATTTTAACAATATTTGTTCTTCCAATCCATGAGTATGGAACCTCTTTCTATTTCTTTATATCCTCTTCAATTTCTTTTATTAACTATTTTATAGTTTTCAGAGTACAGGTCTTACACTTCTTTGGTGAGGTTTATTCCTAGGTATCTTATTGGATTTGGAGCAATTATAAATGGTAATAACTCCTTAATTTCTCTTTCTGCTGCTTAATTATTGGTGTATAGGAATGCAACAAATTTCCGTACATTGATTTTGTATCCTGGGACTTTACTGAATTCATGTATCAGTTCTAGGAATTTTTTTGATGAAGTTTTTTAGACTTTTCTATACAAAGTATCATGTTATTTGCAAATAGTTAAATTTTGACTTCCTCCTTGCTGATTTGGATGGTTTTTATTTCTTTTTGTTGTCTGATTGCTGAGGCAAGGTCTTCTAGTACTATAATAAATAACAGTGGTAAGAGTGGACATCCCTGTCTTGTTCCTGACCATAGGAACATTTTTTCCTCATAAAAGATATTAGCTGTGGATTTTTCACAAATGGCCTTGATTATGCTGAGGTATGTTTCCTCCAAGCCTACTTTGTTGAGAGTTTTTATCATGAATAGATGTCTTCAGATGATTTTTCTACATCTATTGAAGTAATAATATGATTCTTATCCTTTCTTTTATTAATGTGGCATATCACGTTAATTGATTTGCAAATATTGAAACACCCTTGCAACACAGGAATAAATCCCACAATTGTGGTGATTGGTTTTTTTTAATGTATTTCTGGATTCAGTTTGCTAGTATTTTATTGAGAATTATTGCACCTATTTTCATCAGGGATGTTGGCCTGTAGTTCTCTTTTTTAGTGGAGTTTTTGTCTGATTTTGATATCAGGGTAATGCTGGCCTCATAGAATGAGTTTGAAAATTTTCCTTCCTCCTGTATTTTTTAGAATAGTTTGAGAATAGGTATTAACTCATCCAAATTGGTAGAATTTGCCTGTGAAGCTATTTGGCCCTGGGCTTTTGTTTATTGGGAGATTTTTCAATATTGACTCAGTATCTTTGCTGGTTATTGTTCTGTTCAAGTCTTCTATTTCTCTTGTTTTCATTTTGGTAATATATATGTCTTGGAATTTATCAATGTCTTCCAAGTTGTCCAATTTGTTGACATATAGTTTTTCATAATATTCTGTTATAATTGTTTGTATTTCTGTGGTGTTAGTTATTTTTCCTCTCTCATTTGTTATTTTATTTATTTGGTTCCTTTTTCTATGTCTGTCTGTTTGTCACTCTCTTTTTGATAAGTCTCACTAGAGATCTATTAATTTTATAAATTTTTTTAAAGAACCAGCTCCTGGTTTCATTGTTCTGTTTTTTTTTTCCCCAGTTTCTATATAATTTACTTCTGCTTTAATCTTTACTATTTTCTTCTTTCTACTGGCTTTAGGCCTCACTTGTTATTCTTTTTCTAGCTCCTTTAGGTGTAAAGTTAGTTTGTTTATTTGAAAAATTTCTTGCTTCTTAGGGTAGGCCTGCATTGGTAAATATTTTCCTCTTAGGACCACGTTTGCTGCATCCCAAAAGTTTTGGACTCTTGCATTTTCATTATCATTTGTTTCCATGTATTTTCCTTGTTGACCCGTTCATTAGCATGTTTTTTAATCTCCATGCGTTTGTGGTTTTTCAATTTTTTTCTTGTGCTTGACTTCATTTCATAGCATGTGGTCATAAAAAGTGCATAGTATGATTCAGTCTTTTTGTATTTGTTGAGGCCTGATTTGTAATAGAATATGTGATATATTCTGGATGATGTTCCATGTGCACCTGAAAAGATTTTGTATTATGCTGTTTTGGGATGGCATGTTCTGAATATATCTATTAAGTCCATCTGGTCCAGTGTGTCATTCAAAGCTATTGTTTCTTTGTTGATTTTGGGTTTAGATAATCTATCTGTTGATATGGGTAGGGTTTTTAAGTCCCATGTTATTATTGTATTATTATCAACGAGTACCTTTATGTTTGTTATTAATTGTTTTATATATTTGGGTGTTTATGTTGGGGGCATAAATATTTACAATTGTTGTAACTTAGTGTTTTATTGTCCCCTTTATGATTATACAATTCCCTTTATCTCTTGTTA